CGGGCCCGCGCGGGAGAGGCGGCGACGCAGGGCCAGGTGGCGGCGCCTGAGTGGAGGAGGGAGGTGGCGGTGAAGTCGTGGCGCCTCACGATTGGCTGGAGTGATATGGCCGATGAGATGGACGCGTCCGCCGGCGAGCGGACATGTCCGACGGCGCGGAGGGAGGTGAGATCTAGGGTTTCGTCCGCGAATTTTGACGGGGTGCACATATTTATAGGTAGAGGGAGCTAGGAGAGTCCAAATGAGGTGCGGTTTTCGGCCACGCGTGATCGAACGTCCGAGATGATGGAGGAGGTTTAGGTGGGTTTTGGGCCAAATTGGAAGGGTGTTGGGCTGCAACACACACGAGGCCTTTTCGGTCCCTCGGTTAACCTTTGGGATATCAAACGAAGTCCAAATGCTATGAAACTTGACAGGCGGTCTACCGGTAGTAAACCAAGGCCGCATGACAAGTCTCGGTCCAATCCGAAAACGTTTAACACCCGCACACGAAAAGAGGTAGAAAGGGACATCGGGTGACATAGGAGCGCCGGATTGCAAAACGGACAACGGGGAAAATGCTCGGATGCATGAGACGAACATGTATGCAAATGAAATGCACATGATGACATGATATGAGATGCATGACACGCAAGCAATGACAAGGCAACAACAGCGAATAACTGGAGGACACCTGGCACATCGGTCTCGGGGCGCCACACCTCGGCTCGTCTTCCTCACCTCTTTAGGGCAAATGACTGAATTCCGAGCAAGGAATTTCTAAATTTAAGAGTATTCTTTGTTGCATGTTTTTATTTTTTTCTAACTGTTTTTATCAGGCAAACATTCAGCTAACAGTAGAGAAAACTTCCTGAAAATGGATGCAAATTAGAGGAAACATGCCAGATTATAGGCCAGCCTTGACAATGGCTAGATAAACATTGCAAGAAGTTGCTCATGCTGTGTGGACTTGTAGTAATTTTGTGATACATATTCAACATATTATATTGGTTTTTTTTTAGGATTTATATTGGTTTTGTTGACGGAAAGGAAATTGAGTTAGGCTCTCAAGAGTCAAGACATATGGCATGGGGCATTCAACCATATACCATACACATATATTTATTTAAAAAAATACATGCATTGCCCATGTATGATGCTTAACAAAATTAGGATTAAGCCCAATAAAGTTTTAGGTTGAGTTGATTTTTTATAGAATGATCTGCATATATGACCCATGCATATATAACGCTCTCCTGTTTAACACACTGACACTTACCTAGTACTAAGCCTAAAACAACTATTACGAGTACATATTAGTCACGGTTACTATTTGCACATGTTTGCAGAGTCCTACAATTTTGCTTACTATTTATACTTGCTTGCAGGGCAGCGTCTTACAAATTTGATCATCTACCCTTCCACTGTAGTACTCCTACTTATTTAGCTCAGTGACAAAGAAGGTGCACGTTTGTTCAGAAATCCACACAAAATTAGCAAATCCATTGTTTTTCTTTCTCTGCAGTGGAAGATAGATATGCTCCCAAATTCGGAACTCGTTCATCGTTTCTGTGGACATGGGCAGCGCGCCGCCCTGCACCATCCGACTTGCCAAATATCTCGAGCGACCCCACCTTCTGACTCACGCCCCTGCTCTCACTGACAACGAGGAGCTCGTCCCCACCAATCCCGTTAACCCCCCTCCCTCTCCGCCGGCTCCGTGCCATATCTCCACGGAACGGATAAGCCACTGAAATCCAAGAAACGTCGCAGCTTTCTACTGAGAATGGGCCCACAAACACGCGGCCCACGAATGGGACCCTTGCATCAGTGAAATAATACGTGCACCTCTCGGTGACCGCAGGTTATTCACCCGAACAGGATTTAACAGCCCGGCGTGACGGCGAGACACGCAGGCAACGGCGACACCCTTCGCTCCCCGTCTCGGTTCGTCTCGTCCTCTGCCTTCCTCTGTTCCTCATCTCCCCACCTCACTCCGCCCGCCCTCCCCACCGATTCCTCCACGCGAGGTCCTCGAGCTGCCCCCATCCTCCCGGTCGCGAATCTAGGGTTCGGGGCCCGCCCCCCTGCCTCTCCCATGGCCTCCGCCGCCGCCGCCGAAACCCTCGTCTCGCTCCCCATCGTGCCCCCCTCCCGGTCGCTCCTGCGCCCCCTCTGCAGGCGACCTGCTTACAGAGGCAGCGCCGCGTCGGTCCGCCTGTCCGCCGTGCCGCCCCGGGGCCTCGGGTTCGCCCTCATCCATCGCCGCATTCGCTGCCCGCCGGCGGCGCGCGCCAACGTCGAGCGCGACGGCGACGGCGCCTCCGGGTCAGGGGAGGCCTCGTCCACCGGGGACGGCGACCGCGACGCGGCGGCGGAGCAAGGAGGTGATAGCGCGGGCACGAGCACCACCAGCGCGGCCGCGACGCCGCCGTCGTCACCGCCCTCTTCGTCCAAGAGGGGGGAAAACAAGTGGCGCCGGCGGGTGGCTAAGGGCGGCGGTGTTGGCCGATGGTTTTGGGAGCCCATAGTGCAGGGCCGGGAGATGGGGTTCCTCCTGCTACAGCTCGGGTTTGCCATATTCGCCCTCCGCATGCTGCGGCCGGAGATCACGTTGCCTGGCTCAGAGCCCCGGCCGCAGACCACTTACATCAGCGTCCCCTACAGCGACTTCCTGGCGAGCATTGATAAGGACCAGGTGAAAAAGGTTGAGGTGGATGGGGTGCACGTTATGTTCCGGCTCCGTCCAGAGGTTGAGGCCAGCGTGGTGGAGCAGCCACAAACACAAGCAGATGGCGTTGCTGATAATGCTGCCATTTCGAGGAGAATCGTCTTCACAACCACACGACCAGTGGACATTAAGACTCCATATGAGAAGATGGTGGAGAATAGTGTTGAGTTTGGGTCGCCAGATAGGAGGTCCGGCGGCATGCTCAATTCAGCTTTGGTAAGGCATTTCAGCTGAAAGTTATCTGTGTTACACCTTACACGTTTGATTATTGTGGCTTGAAAATTGTTGCAAGCATAGCATTTTAGGCCATTAGTGACATGTCAATAGGAAACAGGGGAAATATGATTTACTACATATGGTGACGGAGATTGTAGAATTAGAGATGGCGTTTAGTTTAAATAAGGAGGAATAATTTGTAATGTTATTTCCTTTAGTATGGTTTGTTTCAGCAATCTAGATTTTATATATGTTAACTAGTTAGATGTGACGTACTGGCAATGAAGGAGAAAAAGAAAACCAGTGTTTTGTTATGTGTCAATACTTAGAGATGCTCGCAAGAGATTAGAATCCAATATTTTTTTTGTTCTGCTTGAAACAAAAGCATAACATTTGTTCAATTCTCCCAGCGGCTGCTTTTTATAGCAAGCAAACAGGAGTACTTGTTGCTAAATTTTGTTAGTATGTACTCCATAACTACATATTTAATCAACCCCACAATCGTTGTGTATGCTCTTTGCGGATGATGTGGTGCTAGTTGACGATAGTCGGACGGGGGTAAATAGGAAGTTAGAGTTATGGAGACAAACCTTGGAATCAAAAGGGTTTAGGCTTAGTAGAACTAAAACTGAGTACCTGATTTGCGGTTTCAGTACTACTAGGTGTGAGGAGGAGGAGGTTAGCCTTGATGGGCAGGTGGTGCCTCAGAAGGACACCTTTTGATATTTGGGGTCAATGCTGCAGGAGGATGGGGGTATTGATGAAGATGTGAACCATCGAATCAAAGCCGGATGGATGAAGTGGCGCCAAGCTTCTGGCATTCTTTGTGATAAGAGAGTGCCACAAAAGCTAAAAGGCAAGTTCTATAGGACGACGGTTCGACCCGCAATGTTGTATGGCGCTGAGTGTTGGCCGACTAAAAGGCGACATGTTCAACAGCTAGGTGTGGCAGAGATGCGTATGTTGAGATGGATGTGTGGCCACACGAGGAAGGATCGAGTCCGGAATGATGATATACGAGATAGAGTTGTGGTAGCACCAATTGAAGAGAAGCTTGTCCAACATCGTCTGAGATGGTTTGGGCATATTCAGCGCAGGCCTCTAGAAGCTCCAGTGCATAGCGGACGGCTAAAGCGCACGGAGAATGTCAAGAGAGGTCGGGATAGACCGAATTTGACATGGGAGGAGTCCGTTAAGAGAGACCTGAAGGATTGGAGTATCACCAAAGAACTAGCTATGGACAGGGGTGCGTGGAAGCTTGTTATCCATGTGCCAGAGCCATGAGTTGGTCGCGAGATCTTATGGGTTTCACCTCTAGCCTACCCCAACTTGTTTGGGACTAAAGGCTTTGTTGTTGTTGTTGTTGTGTATGGAACTGGTGATGGATTTCTTCACATGAAAAAAAGATAAATTGAACCCCAGTTTTATATGTGAACTTATGTACCTAGCCTAATACAGGAATATGCAATCCTTAATTTGATCCACAAAATAGAAATTTCGCAGACTCCAAACAATGTACCGATGCGTGTTGATAGGCGCAAGGGGTAATCTTGTAAGATGTTTGTGTATGTTTACATTGCTCAGTGTTCATGTCCACGTGTACAAGTCTCTCTTCAACCTGTGCTTTTGGCCCTAATTACACTCTTATATTGTGCAGGTGGCTCTTATTTATGTTGTATTAATTGCAGTAGTTCTTCAGCGACTGCCAATAAGCTTTTCTCAGGTACTGACATGTGTTTATATTTTTCTACCCCAGTCAACTGGTGAATATGGTCTTTAAATTCGATTTTTTTATAGACATTATTATTTCTTGTGTATTACCAGCAATCAACAGGCCAGCTGAGGAATCGAAAGAATTTGAACTCTGGTGGGGCAAAAGTTTCAGAAACTGCCGATATAGTTACATTCGCTGATGTGGCTGGAGTTGACGAGGCCAAAGAAGAGTTGGAAGAAATTGTGGTATGGGTTTTATGATGACTTGTTACTGGTAATCTTGTATTCTAGTATGTGCAGTGATGTTCTGGTCTATCTATTGATTGGAGGAAAATAACCTGGTTTTATCTTTTCATTATGTTCAGGAGTTCCTAAGGAACCCAGAAAAATATATTCGTCTTGGTGCACGTCCTCCTCGAGGTGTCTTGTTGGTTAGTTCTGCATTTATTTATAGTAGTGAGTGTTGCTTGGTTATTGCGTTTGTTACTTACAGTGCAATCCTTTTTACAGGTGGGCCTTCCAGGAACTGGAAAGACACTCCTTGCTAAAGCTGTAGCAGGGGAAGCGGAAGTTCCTTTCATAAGTTGTTCTGCAAGTGAATTTGTGGAGCTATATGTAGGCATGGGAGCAGCTCGAGTACGTGAACTATTTGCTAGGGCCAAAAAGGAATCACCGTCAATTATTTTTATTGATGAGGTAATCTAGCATTTGTGGATATAATTACTTGTTTTCTATTCAGATGCATGCTAACCCTTTGCATTCGGCTGCTCTTTGTAGATTGATGCCGTGGCAAAAAGTCGTGATGGCCGGTACCGTATCGTCAGCAACGATGAGCGTGAGCAGACACTAAATCAACTGCTCACGGTAGGATAATAACAATAGTTTCTTACTTTTCAGTCTTTACTTCCATGGCACCCTATTCTTTGTTTGGCCATTGTTAATTTTCTCTTTTTTTAGGAAATGGATGGTTTTGATACCAACTCAGCTGTCATTGTACTTGGAGCAACAAACAGGGCAGATGTTTTGGATCCTGCCCTTCGGCGCCCAGGGAGATTTGACCGTGTAGTCACGGTTAGCTTTTATTCTCAAACAAGTGTATCACTTGCTTCTTAGTTTTCAGATGTGACAGACATTTTCATGACAGGTTGAAGCTCCCGATAAATTTGGAAGAGAATCTATCCTGAAAGTTCATGCGAACAGAAAAGAGCTTCCCCTTGGTAAAGATGTAGATCTCAGCGGCATTGCTGCAATGACAACTGGTTTTACAGGGTAACAATTTCTCTTCTAGTTAATCTTTTTAACCATGTACCACTTTCCATTTGACTCGTGTGTACCCTATGCAGGGCAGACCTTGCTAATTTAGTGAATGAAGCTGCTTTGTTGGCTGGAAGATCAAATAAAGAAATAGTGGAAAAGATCGATTTCATCAGCGCGGTTGAGCGCTCTATAGCTGTATGTTTTTCTGTTATCTCAAATCTCGTTCTATTACTTTCTTTATTGAAGTAGAATATGATGTGTATGCAGTCCCAACTATATTGTATTCAGCTTCAAGTTATATCTATCTTAGTCCTTAACTGTGCAATGCGCAGAGGATTACATAAAGTGCAATTGCCCAACATACATAGTATGGATATCTAAACAGCACCATCTGTAAAACTGTGTTTGTTATGTGGGGTGTTCCGTACAAATGTCGGACTAAACCAAAATCTGATTAGAATCAACTTAGGACCAAGTTGTATTTGTGCAGGATTGAATCCCTGGTGGAGGTGTGTTCCTGTTTGTTTCTGATTGAGTCTTTACTTTCCTTGTGTTATATTTGGTCATCTCCTATATAAGGAGCAGGAGTGTGTACTAGGACTTCAGGAAATAATTCAGTAGTTCTGGAATCCCTAATCTCCTTCCCTCCTCCTGAATCCCCCCTACCCTTCTCTGCCAGCGCCGGCCACGGGGCCAAAGCAGCAGCCGGTAGGGCCGCGCTCCCCCTGGCCATGGAATTGCACTAAGGACCAGAGGCTCTTCCAGTCCTGCGGGTCTTTTTGGGTTCTGTTTTGGTTAAAAACGGCAGTTAACGATAACACACAAAGAATATTCAAAATTGTGTCCAGAAGTGATTTTTATATGCAAACTGCCCCCTTAGAGTATGCAATCAAGCAAACAGTGCATTTTGTCTGTTAAATGCTTAACTCATGTATGGTGAATTTTACCTATTCACATCCATGCTGGTTTTGTGGTAGATTTCTTTGGGAGAAAAATACATTTGGTGGCACTCAAATATCACTTTGGTGGGGGAGTGGATGTTTAATCCCACCACCTGGGTTCAAGTCTCCGTGGACTCAGTTTAAGGGTCTCTGCAGTTTCCTTAAAGGAAAACATTAGTTTAGTTCTTGGCACTAAACTTCTCCAGTACACTTTTTAGCATAAAATTCTAACCCCCCATGCATTCTGAACTATGCATTTAGCGTGTTTTCAATAATTTTTCCTAGCCAAAACATGTACGACATACGGGTCCTTTATGTAGCACAACCAACTTGATCCACAAGTCAGATCTGAATACAAACTCAGCATGTACCAAAGGTAATTAAGATTTAAGACCTTTCCTAATCTAGCAGGTTCCCTGTCCACGCACGTCACATGCACATATCATGCTGCAACTACTGCTAGTCGTATCCTTATTCCTTAAGGGATACTAGCTGCACAATACTAATCATCTCTATTGTATGAGTTGTGCCCTCAGGGCATGGCCTTATTGTTGTTCTTTGCTCTATTTTGATGTTGCCGTGAGAGATAGATGTTCCTGTTATTAGTCATTATAGTTCTCTATGCTACTGTGAAGTTAACTGTGAAGTCTATTTCTTAGGGCATAGAGAAAAAACATGTAAAGCTGAAGGGCAATGAAAAGGCTGTTGTTGCACGGCATGAAGTTGGTCATGCAGTTGTGGGAACTGCTGTAGCAAATCTGTTGCCAGGCCAGCCACGTGTGGAGGTTTGAATTGAAACAACTATTGATAAGAACAGTCGGTATAATTCTAAATTGGTCTTACTTACTTTCGCTGTTTATTTTCCTAGAAATTGAGTATATTGCCGAGGTCAGGAGGTGCATTAGGCTTTACATACACTCCTCCCACGACAGAAGATAGATATTTGCTCTTTGTTGATGAACTGCGTGGACGTCTGGTAACGCTTCTGGGTGGGCGGGCAGCAGAGGAAATAGTTCTAGCAGGACGGGTTTCTACTGGGGCACTTGATGACATCAGGCGTGCAACTGACATGGCTTACAAAGCCGTGGCAGAGTATGGTCTTAATCAGCGCATAGGTCCAATATCACTAGCTACATTGTCAAATGGTGGGCTAGATGATTCCGGAGGCTCCCCATTTGGAAGGGACCAGGTCTGTCTCAAAGTTCCATACAATTGCAGATCAAACTATTAAGCTGCCTACTAAGCTCACATTGGAAAACTAATGACAGGGTCATCTGGTTGATCTTGTCCAAGGGGAAGTAAAAGCACTTCTACAATCAGCACTTGAAGTTGCTCTTTCAGTTATCCGTGCTAATCCAGCAGTTTTGGAAGGACTTGGAGCATATTTAGAAGGTAATTTGACATATTATCTGCCTATGTTTTTTATGGTGCGCTTTTCTTCATGAGCTATGCATCACAAAGGCTGTATGTCTAACTGCTCATCTCTATGATCCTTCCAGAGAATGAAAAGGTTGAAGGGGAGGAACTACAAGAGTGGCTTAAGTCTGTCGTTGCCCCAGAAGAATTGACCTCTTTTATCACAGGAAAGCAAGAACATGTTCTTCAGCTGGAAGTAGGCCTCTAGCATCAGGAGTATAAATTGGAGTCTTAGACTTGATTAATTTAACCTAGCGCCAACCGCTAAAACTCTGTAAATCCAGAGGGATTCAGTGAAAAAAAAAGTCCTCATGCCCAAGATGCTGTATATATATACGGTCGCGGTTGCCCTTGACTCGAGGAATTCCAGAAGTGATTATCGAGTTCTAACCTCCACAATATTGTAAGTCCATCTGTTTGCTCCTCTACAATGTTGTTATAGGGATTAGGCAGGTGGTGCACATGTAAAAGAACATTCTTTTTTCTTCATACATTCTTTTTTTTCAGCCCTCCCAGTGAAAGATTCATGTTACATTATCATGTCATCAAATATTAATAGAAAATAATTCATATACGGTTTGCATACAATATTCCTTGCCTTGGTATACTCGACTGTCCATCTGCATTACTTTGTTCATCTACCTGCGTCGGCTGTTATTTTGCTGAGCAGAATCGTTCACTTCTCATCATTTACGAGGTGCACTAATGCGAAATGATATTCCACTGGTGCTTTTTGAACTTTGAAGTGTTTTGTTTCTTCTCTGGAAAGAAGTCCTTTGGTTGTAAAGCAAGATGTGCATCTGAGGTTTTCTGATAGGAGATTCTCCGGTTTCTGTCTAGCCAGTCCATGCTGAATCGGTCATGAAACCCGAAGACATATATACTACGAAAACAAATTGCAATTGCTGTGTGGAACTCCTATAGTTTTTAACTGAAGTGTTCTTAAAAAACACTGATAACATGTCAAAACACTTGCATTTTTTTCATTAGATGCAGCTTCCAAAAGGCCAAGGGTAGTGAAAACAGATTAGCAAACGACCAACATGTCATTCATTTTGTACTGCTGGCATCTGCTGCTATTCTCACACTTCCCTTTCGTTTGGCGTCTTCTAGATAGTTCTCGACTTTTGAGAAGCCCCAGCTAAAAGGTTATGGCTGAGCAGAGACATTAAGGGGTTTGGATTTTTTTTTAAACTAGGCAAAAGATTTGCCATTTTCATTGATTAAGAGAGAAGGTTAACAATGTATGGCCAAATACAGTACATCACTCTCACGACATAATGTTACACAAATGTTTTGCTCCCGCGAGGCTCCAAAGCGAGCATTCCTCTTTAATCTTGGCGACCAACACTCCCACTGGAACGGCCGTGTTGTGAAAAACTCTAGCGTTTCGCTCCTTTCATATTTCCCAGGAGATAAGCATCATCAGGGAGACAAGCGGCCTTCTCGATGGAGTTTGGTTGGTGGCATTTTGACTCCACCAATCCTTAACCGAATCCAGTTTGCTTAGTGGCATTTTGACTCCACCAATCCTTAACCGAATCCATATCAATCCAATCGTTGGGCTGGACATTGTGGAGCGCAAGCCAAGATTTAAATTTAGGACTGAACTTCACGTGCACAATCTAGCGCAAAAGAGCAATCCAAATGGTCAGAAGACAGAAGTGTAAGGATTTGCCAACTTTCCACCATCGGGCTGAGTGCATCCAGCGGCTCAAGTTTTGAGTTATTCCCACACTATATAGGATTATAGATATAGATATTTTTTTCTGAAACTTGGCGATTATAGATAATATGAATTCCACCAATAATTACGTCGGTACACACAGGGGAGATGGAACTACAACGATTGCAGCGGTAGAGACGTCGACAGCAACTGGTTGGACGTGCAGATACTTCCAAGAGACCGCAGCCGGTATCCGCGACGGCATCTGTCCTTCTCGTCTACTCTGTTTTGGTTTTGGCGAAGTTCTGAAGCGCGAAGGCCATGGCCACCAGCAGGAGAGGCAGGGCGAGCTGCAGCACCGTGAGCCAGACGCCCTGGCCCGTGCTCGCGCGTGGCGCAGGAGCCGCCGCCCCCTTGGCGGGGAGGACGGCGCGGGCGAGCTTGGCCGGGACGGTGGCGGCGTCGACCTCCCCGATGCAGTACTGCGGCATCAGCTCCTTGGCGGAGTCCGAGTGGCCGATGTCCTCGAAGTCGGCCGTCGCGTCCTTGCCTGCACGCCCGTAAGACATGCCAAATCATTCCCGGCCACAACCAAGAGAAAACGATCCGTGAAAGCACGCGAGAGAAGACGAAAGGAGGGCTCACCGGTGCACGCCAGCAGGACCTCGTCGCCGCCCGGGTGCTCCTCCATGAAGGGCGTCACGTCGTACACCTGAGGCAGCGAGCAGAGGTAAATCATATGGCCAGATAACCCAGATCATGTGCGTCTACAAAAAATTCATCTGAAGGCAAGTGAAGTGGTGGTAGATGCAACGAGGGTTTATGACATGACGAACCGACCTTGCCGGAGATGATGAGCCAGCAATCCTTGCGCTGGCTGTGCTTGCGCACCTCTTGGAACGAGTACACCTTCCCTCCTCCCGCCATCGCAAGCAGCCTGCTTCCTTGCCTCGGAGTCGGAAATTCAAAGGGGACGAACAGAACCAGATCGAGGGAACCGGACGGAGTACTTTGGTTTGGGAACTTCTGAATGGCGAGCGGTTCAGGCACCTGCGGCAGTGTATTTATACGCGAGCCGTGCGTGGTATCTGCTTGAGCTGCCCACCGTTTTGGGCCGGCTGCTGGCTGCTGTAGACGAGCGGGCGATGTGGACTGGACGCCGTAGAGCAGTTTGTTCTACGGTCTCTTCGGGTCAAAATAAAATATATGGATGGGCTGGACGGACGCAGTGCGGTCTCGTCACGTGTGGATGACCTGCGGTTCATCAGCGCTGTGATGGGAAGATCTCTCAGTAATTTCATGGCTCGTCAACGGTAACTCCACCGCGCTCGCACGGTCAAACTTTTTCATCATGTTAATAATCTCTTAGGCTAGTCATAGTGAAGAGTAACTTAGATTAGTAACATGCATATGTTACTAATCTATGTTACTATCTTCATAGTGAAGAGTAACACGAACGGCAAGTCTCTCCTCGGCTCTCAAGAAAAGGCTTAAGACTGTGAGTCCTCTCTCTTCCACTCATCAAAACACTACTACTTAGTATACTATCTGATCATCGATGTCACCGTCATCTTTATAAGCGCTGCTTTGCCTGACACACGGACGTGAGACTAAACCAGCGACTAAAACCAATCCTGAGCAGTGCGGTGTGATCCGATTGGTAAATGCCGTGCAAGTGCCAGCCAGCGACCAAACACGACACGTGGCAGATCGGTGACGACGCGACGGAACCGTGAAGAGTAGCACCACCGGAGTGTTGGTAACGGACACTAATCCAAGACTATCTGGTTTATAAGAGCATTTCTAGCCGTTCGCCCCCTCAGGACGCAAATCGCTCCCTGGGACGAGCCGGCGATATAATCGGCGCTGGAGGCGGTTTTGCGTCCAGTCGTCACCCCCAGTTCGCCCTCAGGCGCCGATATTGGCCTACTTTTCAGCCCTATTTCGGCGAATAAAGGGCACATATAGGCGACAATAGGCCCATATTCGACGTGGTTCGCCGTTGTTCGGCGTTCAATTATCCACATAAATTTTTTTATCACATATTTCATCATAGAAATATCAAATACTTCAACGAAATAGTACAACAACAAATAGTTCAATACAAATTATATAGTTCAATAAATAAAAATTCATATTTCATTACACGTCGCGTCCGGCGTCGCCCTTGAGCCTTCATAGGTGCTCTATCAGATCTTACTGCAGTTGATGATGCACCTGTGGGTCTCGGATCTCCTGACGCATACTGAAATAGGCAGTCTAGGTTGCCTGTAGCTGGTGATCAACTTCGGCTAGAGAACCCTGCCTGTAGTATGGTTCAGTGTCAAACACTGGGTCTTCTTGCTCGCTCTCGATGATCATGTTGTGCAAGATGACACAGCAAGTCATAATCTCCCATATTTGATCTTTCGACCAGGTCTGAGCGGGGTACCGAACAACAACAAATCGAGATTGGAGCACACCAAATGCCCGCTCGACATCCTTCCTGCAAGCCTCCTGAACCTTCGCAAACCAGGCGTTCTTGCCTCCTGGCACAAGGTTTGAGATCGTCTTCACAAATGTCGACTATCTTGGATAGATGCCATCAGCTAGATAGTACCCCTTGTTGTAGTATCCCTTGTTGTAGTGTCGCCCATTGATCTCGAAGTTCACCGGAGGAGAATGACCTTCAACAAGCTTGGCAAAGACAGGAGAGAACTGCAGCACGTTGATGTCATTGTGAGTTCCTGGCATACCAAAGAAGGAGTGCCAAATCCAGAGGTCCTGTGTGGCCACCACCTCAAGTACCACACTCCAACCTCCTTTGGCGCCTTTTTACATCCCCTGCCAAGCAAATGGGCAATTCTTCCATTTCCAATGCATGCAGTCGATGCTTCCAAGCATCCCAGGAAATCCTCTTGCTGCATTCTGTGCTAGGATCCGAGCAGTGTCTTCCGCATTGGGTGTTCTTAAGTATTGCGGTCCAAACACTGCCACTACTGTCCGACAGAACTTGTAGAAACACTCTATGCTGCTGGACTCGGCCATGCGCCCATAGTCGTCGAGTGAATCACCGGGAGCTCCGTATGCAAGCATCCTCATCGCTATCGTGCACTTCTGAATGGAGGTGAATCCAAGGGCGCCGGTGCAATCCATCTTGCACTTGAAGTAGTTGTCGAACTCCCGGATGGAATTCACAATCCCGAGGAAGAGCTTTCGGTCGGCTCATCCGATAACAGCGCCGAAATGTTTTCTCGCCGTGAAGTGGAGCATCGGCGAAGTAGTCGGAGTAGAGCATGCAGTAGCCTTCGAGACGATGCCGGTTCTTTGCTTTCACCCGCCCCGGCGCCGAGCCACCTCGCCGCTGTAACGCCCCGAGACCGATGTGCCAGGTGTCCTCCAGTTATTCGCTGTTGTTGCCATGTCATTTGCTTGCGTGTTGCATCTTGCCATGTCATCATGTGCATTGCATCTTCATATTTTCAAAACTTGCATCCGTCCGGGTTCCCCCAGTTCCGTCCGTTATCCGTTCTGAGCCCAAACACACTTGCACGCGCCCGCGG